AGTGTATTTGAAACTCTTGGGCTAATCTGTATTTCAGTGAAAATTGAAAGCTCACCGAAGCCCCTGAAATGAAGACAAGATTGTCTTTTATGGCCAGTAACCTTCCTCATCAAGGTGGATTGGACTATTTGGCATACTATGAAGACTGAAATTATGTTCATATGGTCAGCCGACAAAATCAGCCTTGAAAATCTAGATTCCATGCATGATTCGTGTCCCATGTCTCACAACTTTGAAGATATACAAACAAAAAGTAACAAGTTGACAGAAGTAGCATAGAAGACAGGACTTTAGTGAGCATAGATGAGACACAGGTGATGGAGATGCACGACCACCAAACACCAGTCTCCACCAATAAAAGAAATCTGAAGGAGGTTTTCTCTTTCAATTACCTGAACTGGACATCATCGTTTCAAGTACCACTAGATAGCATGGATCAGGATGTCAAAGTTAGTCAGGATAGAGGAAAGCAAGACCAGTGTTCATTACACTCAAATCGTTAAGATGTGGTTCTTTGGTTTAAGAGATCAATTTTAGGCCAACAGTAATGGGCTCAAGTTCCGTGTCACCTACTTCAGTCTGAGAAACTGGGTATTGTCACCACCCTTCCACACGACGGATGTGCCTCTTAGTCTGGTACAAGAAAGATCTGTTCCAGGCAATAAAGTTCAGACGACATGATGAAATCAATATGGAAACCTATAGCACACTGAATAAAAAACAACACCCAAATTTGCAACAATAATATGAAGTCCATTAATGCTTCAACATGGTTCAGACACTTGACGAGTGCGTCAATGACTGCACTTCCGACAGGTTGCTGCTTAATTTCATAAACACCTGTCTCCCTCGTAGCCTCGACATTGACTATCAAATGGCCGGCTGCAGGGGATGAGCAACAAGGTACTCCGGTAGCGTGGTGAACCGGCCGACAACTAATTAGCCGAGAGATATCCAGAAGCAAATAGAAATTGACTGAAGATACGATGAGGACTCTATTGAGTGACATCATACTCTAAACTGTTGAGTGGAAGCTGAATGGAAAGTGACAAATTGGGTGTGAGTCTGAGTGAGGTGTGTAGTACATCATGTAGAGAGAGAATGAGAGGTCGTTGGTTGGCGTTGAGTTAACCGAAGGTTATATCAGAGAACTGAATGTAGTGGAGATGTTCTGCCGATGTCCTATATTCCACTATGGACGTAAGAACTAACTAATAATAATGTATTGCGGAGTATCTGATAAAAATTGTAAATCTTCATCCAGTTAGTGCATTGTGAACACACAACTGCTTCTAAGAACTAATAACACTACTCAATATCAACATGTGTCCTACAGGTCACATTACGTTACGCAATTATCCTGTTTATTTCGAGAACGATAGATAAACAAATTTCATATGCTCATAGTAATCACCTAATGCAACCTTGTTTAGTTTACTAGCTCTCTAGTTTTCTAGCGGATCTCAAGCCCAGGAGAATAGGGAGGGTTGGGCAAGAATCTAGCGACCAACCCCGGAAAATCAGTTAAACTGTTTCAGAAACTTCAACGCAAAATACAAGTATCAAAAATACAAAAAATATGAAAAACAAACTTATTCTTCACTGGAGTCGGAGAGGCGAAACGTTGCAGGCTGATGAAAGCCTTCCAAAAACCGCTCAGTTGATGTATATTCTTTCAGTGAAAGCGAAAATAAGGATGTGGATTTGGAATATTCATGCAATTTACGAAGGTGTGAAGGCTGCCCAGGTGGCTAAAAACATGAGGAAATTTGGTATGGAAGTGCCAGGAATCTGCAACAGTAGGTGGAATAGGTATGGACTTTCTAAATTATCAGTTGGAGAGTCACTAATCTACTCCGGTCAACCAGACGACAACAACAAGCACACCGAGGGAGTGGCTTTCATGATTTCTCCAACAGTAGCCAAAACCCCAGTGCAGTGGGAACCAATCTCCCCTCCAGGATTATGCCAAAAGGATTCGACTCAAAAGGAAAAAAAGGTTACATTTGTCCAATGCTATTCACACTGCTACAAACAACGTGGAACAAGAGAAGAAGGAAGATAAACATGATTTCAGTAGATAATTTGCTCTCAATCTGGAGACTTCATTGTTTCAAATAATACTGATAACTGATGTCGGACTGATATCTCAGTCTGAAATAATTTATACGATATATATTACTTTTACAAGTTGATCACACATTGTTATTAGTTAAGGAACCAATGAAAACCAGAGAGTACTGTACAGCTGTTTCATCCTAGTTTGGGAATCATTGGTAGTACGCACTCACTGGAGTTCGAACCCAGAACTTTCCGGTCACAAGGTAAGCTCGTATACCATTCAGCCACTGGGACCTGATTCAATGGACCATGAATTCCAACTTCTATCAATTCGTGATTCAGCGCGACCACCAACCAATATCATCGGTGGGTAATCCATCCCCACACTTGACTGGATGGACCTCCCTGGTCACGACCTCTCACTATAACTCCAGAAAACTCCATCCTGTTGCAAGTCACTAGCGAGCACGGAATATAATATACAAAGCTCAATTATGAGGTATTTGTGGCTGAATGCCGTGAAAAAGTATGGTGAATGTGCGTCAATAAGTAAAAACAGCAGAGCTGTATCAAAGGCGATCCACGTGTTATTTAAACAGCACGCAAATTCCTAACACGGTATAGTGGGATACGGATAAATGATGTAAAATAGTGGTTTACCAAATAGATTCATGAAAATGTAATGTATTTTAAGGTAAACTTGTCCAAAGTTCTGCTAATCCCAATACAAGATGATTTTATTCTCATTTGCGAAATAGTTTTCTGCTGTGATTTCAGGAACATATTGGTTGATTTTGATAAATTTAATGAAATAGGATCTCGTATGTCGTACGAATATCACTTTGTCAGTAAAGCGCAAACAAAACGATGTACTGAGACAAATGTTTTCTAGATACGCTACCCAAAATAAAAATAATGCAAGGAAAATTACTGACAATATCGCATCAGTGTAGTTTTTAGTAAAACAAATGTAGTTACTTTTCACAGCCTGGAAACTATGATTTCTAGAGAAACCACATAGTCACTTTAAACTTAGATTCTGTTTGACTATGTGAATTTTAATAACGCTTTCTTTTAAGCAATACGCTACCATTTGTGTGGTAGGCTAATTCCATCTAAATTTGTCGCAATGACTCATTTTGCTGATGAAAATCAACCTAAATATGATTTTCAATTTCTAGTGACTGAATTATTATCTGAGCATATTAGGTTAAAAATACTGGACATCTGAGTATCGGCAATCCTTAGTGTTATCTATTATCTATTAAATGGTTATATCAACAAGCTTGACATGGTATATTACTACCTTTCTACTTTTAATGTATGGTTTATTTGTTAGGCTTTCTGTGTGAACTACTCTTGATTTTAACGAAGGTTGACTAGAGAAATGTAACGTTTAGGAGTTCTTACAAAACTTGATTGAACAGTGACAATCATCAGTCAACCATAATCTCATGACCAATATCATAAACACAGCTCAATTGCGTACAAACCTTTCTAAGTATTTTCGGATTATTCTGATATATTCAGTGTGACATTGTAGATAGCGATTTCGCACTAACCCTAACATTCTTCTGACACTTCTTTGGGGTTCTTTGTGATCTCTGCAGAGTTTTATTCGTTAAGCTCATCCTCCTGCTTACATTCACAGTGGGTATTTTCTAAAAACTTAAGTTAAAAACTTAATTTTTCACTCAGCATATTGGTTGCAACTTTCGGATAGCTAAAAACACTTTTTTTAAATAATTAACTGTGAAATTAAATTTACTGTTACAAGATTGTTATCATTACTATACAGTTTTGGTACAAATTCTTGAACTGATGACCCATTTACTTAAATCCATCAGATCGTTTTTTTGACCAACTTTTTAAAATAATTTTATATAAAATGTACATATGCACAGTCAGGAAATGATCATTGGTCAGCCAGTAACTTTTTCTTGGTGTTGTCGATTATTGCTTAACATGTTATACACAAGTATTATATTCACAGTCACCAAATTATTTTGATTGTATTAAGTGCGTTAGCCTTCATTAATTTTTCAATATTTTCACTGTTGTTTAAAGCATTAATTTGATTTCTTCAAATTTACTAGCAACACGCAAAGAAGAAGTCAACTAAGAACAGATAGTCTGTATTTTTTGTGTTATGACCACTGATTTTAGCTTCATTCCTCTACGTTCCGAGCAGAAGTTTTAAGTTTCAGTAGCCGTGGTGTTGTTTTTATGGAGTGAGGTTGCAAGCCACATGCCCAACCTTCAATCTTTACCGGACTTATTACCGATTAGTTGAGGTTTAGGAGTGCATCATCGGCTGAGGATCGAACCCAGACCACGTGCGTGTTCCACCACTGAACCATTAATGCATGTCAGTTTTGATGAGTAAATCACATAAAACATCACTTCACGACAGAGTATAAGTATCAGCCTTGACTTTCTGTTGTCACTGCTTTTAAGTATATTTTTGACTTTTAATATTATAGTCGGATGTCAAAACTAAAAGACATTTGATCTATAGTTCGATGAATTTTATATTTTCTTTAAGAAAAGAGGCAGATTACACTTCCAATACTAGTGCTGTTCCCTTTTCATAACTGAAGTGAACATTGAGTATAGTATTTGTTGTAGATCAAATATTTCATCAGTGACTGCTTTGTAGGCATACTGCCTCAAACTCCAATTTGATCTGTGAAACCTTATCATACTTTGAACTATTCATACTGAATTAGCACCTAAAAATAAGAAATTCGCTTAGCTCAGTTAAATATTCACACTTTCAAAGTCGGAGTATTTTAAGCAAAAAGTAAATTCTTTCTGACACTGTTTTTCGATATCCATTTTCTTCAATTGATTTTCGTTTGATGTGTAAAACTAGTAATGTGTAACTAGTAATAAAACCACCCTTCAGTCATCAACGATGTTTCTTTTTACCTTTACAGAAACCGACTTTGAAGAACCAGAAAATCATATTGTTCGGCATAAACCGGTTGGTATTAATACATTACTGAGGAAAACACGCTTTTCAAGAAAAGAACTACAAATTATGTATCAAGGTTTTAAACAAGTAAGTCGATTTTAAACATTCAACTAATATTTAGCTATATTCTCGTCTTTATTCCTAGTGTATATAACTGAAGTTAGTAGTATGTTCTACCTGGGTTTTTAGCCCCTATCGGTGACTAGAAGAAAATTCAGCTTCATATTTGGATTAAACTGAGCTTCATTTGTTGTACCCTCCCACTGTATACAATTCTCATAATATATCTATAAACCTACGAAGATGAACTAGTATAAATAAGGATATACATAGAGAAGTGGGAAACCACAATTGGCTGCTGATAACTATATTCACTAGTATACACTAATTTACATGCGCGAATTGGTCAGCTGGTCGATGTCTACGCTCACTCAAATATAAATTATCCCTCATAATCATGACTATAGTAAGAACGAAGTCCTGGCTATATACTAAGCCTGTATTACCTCATTTGTAAGAATTAAAACGTTGTATTCTAGAAGTCAATGCACCTAAAGGTACAGCTATTCTTGTCTGTAGAAAATTAGTTCAATTTTCTTAGCGTATACTCAATCTTCTTGTTCTAACCAGTGAAAACAATCTACTTCAAACTGCCTACATATTTTGTGTTATTTCTAAGTTAGTATAAGAGTATCTGACGGCTGCTACTCAATGTCAGTTATTAGTTTGGCTGTTTTACCTATGTTCACTAAGCCACAGCTTTTGATGTTTGTTCTCAGAGCATGATTTTGATTTGCAGGTAGTATTCCTTCTCCTCACAAAAGAGATACGACTCATTACACAAATATGGATATTAGGTCTACCACTTTGTCTATTTTCTTCCACTGTTCATGTCTAGTGAAATTAAGGTGGAATATATCCTTGAGGCGATAAACCTTTTAGTTATTTCAAGTGTAAAATCTATCCACACTTAATCGTTTATTGACGGAGACTAGACTCATTTATGTTAAGCGTAATATTAAATTCACCCTTTGTAATCAAAGGGAGTTAGACATTCAGGGCCAATTTCATTTCTGTGCTTTCAGATTACGAAAAGTCAAGTTAAAAGCACTGAATGACTATTTTAATATAATTATTGGCAATGCACTCTTCAAGGAGTTGCACTAAAATCAAGTGACACTGGGTCATCGTTTCCTCTGGTTCACTACTCATTAGTAACTAACTGGAAATGAATACCTGAAGTTTTAAGATGCTACCGATAAGACCAAACATATTTCACACCAATTACATTGCATAATGTTTATGATACATAACATATTGACGAAAATTTTAAAAAACTATGAACATTCAAACTGTGATTCAGTAACAACAGCAGTTCACTAGTCATTATACTTGGTGGTCTTAAATTCGATACAGTTCGGTATAACGGGTGTGTTTCGCTGAAGAGTTTCATGGTAGAATTAATGCTGATTTCTCCATTATGGATAAGATTTTATTTTGATAAGTCACACACACATAATGGAGTTATACTCTACCACAGTGCCGAAGTTTTATACTTATATTAATGCTGATTTTTAATCAAAGGTACTTTAAAACTGATCCGCATCAAGTATCTACCTCCTCAAATAAGCAGATTTTCTCTTCACAACTCTTTTTATTATATACTCACAATAATTTGAGCGCATATCTAACCAATAAGATAAAATAACTGTGAATAAACCATTTAAGTGATAGTCACTTGCCTCCAGCATTGTTCTGGCCATAGAGGTAGCTTAACTATAAAAGCTTGAGTCGGAAGAATGTAAATCAATAAGGCACATACATATACGTGAATAAACTTCTGTAAACAGCCTTTAGAATGACATCTCGTTTTATGCAAATTACTGACCTCTACGTTACTGTTCCAATAAAGCCTTTCAACTTAATGATTTCCCGCTTAGTGTGAGTTATGAAGTTACAACAGCTTGTATACCACTTTTATTGAAATAAATGACTTAGCAAATTAAGTTCACAACTCATTAATTTATCAATGATTGAATAATATGTGTCCTGTTTATTTCACAACAGAGGAGAATTTACATATTTGATTTGATTTACTTAACTTCATCACTGTTACTATTATTCATTCAATTTGGATAAGGTCTTGTATTGTAAAAATGATCTGTATGAAATCAAATCAAACATCTACATACTAAGAAAAGTATGTTAATCCTAATATCTTTAGAAGGGTACGTTTGACTAGAGACAGTGTATATAATTAATGTACGGATAGAATTTGGACACTGTAGTAGAATATAATTCCACATTAGATACGTTTATTAGTAACTGCATGACATTTTGACCACAACGGCGGTTAAAATCACAAATTTACAGAAGTTAGCATTAATGTGCCAACCACCGGATTGCATCATAGTGTCTGGATGGTCAACACACTCACCTAGTAACCTGAAGTTCCTGGGTTCGGTCCATGGCTTTCAAGTCATGAGTGCGTACTCATGAAGAGACTCAAACTAAGACGAAACAGCTCTGCGGCACTCTGTGGTATTCAAAGGTCGTTTAACTGATATTAAACTGTGATCAAAGTTGGAAGAGTATTTCATGTAAATAATATTTTCGATGCAAGCAAGGATGAGATAGTGAGTTACTGAAGAACAAATAGCACTACAGATTTTGGCTCTTTGGTATTGAACGTCCACAATCCCTTGAGAGGTAGTGAATGAGCACCGAAGAAATATTACGCTGGAGAAATACTTCCAATTTAAAAATTAATGACTGGCTTATCTTCTGCCATAACACGTTGGCTCAATAATTTCTAAATTTTCCATTATATTTTAAATTATCGATGTTTTCCCTCCAGCTTCAAATAATTTGCAAAGGAGTGTGAACATAAGCCAAAGCAAAACCCGTAGTGAAAACGAATGCGTAAGGATTAATATATGTATAAAACTTGGGCATTGTGGTAATAAGTAATTCGAAACGTCATCCAGTAAATAATGTTGTTATGCTGTGTGGTATATCTAATACACAAACTAATATGGAATGCATATGGATGTTATGTTGCAACACAGCTTTACTTCATATTATTACCTGATATTATCTTCATTTTCTGTAATTTCACTCTGCCCGTTTTTTCTTATTGTATGATTTATTTTTATATTTCTGTTTGATATAATTAATAGTTATATTTTAGTAATTTATAGATAAAAATATTTTTTCAAAAAGACTATTGCTTTGATAAAAAGGCGACATACTCATGACAAAATAAAAATTCGATAGAAGCACATGTTTTGACAGAAAATCAAATTTTAAGTTACATCAAATTAGTTATATGCCAGACAAAATCAAGAAAATGAAAAAAGTATCAATTTGCGGAAGATTCAAATGGAAAGAATTATTCTGAAGTCAAGACCAGAATATATGAATCATTATACTGAAAGAATATTACAGTATTGCAAGGTTAAATAATATTAACAGACGGGACTTCACTGTTTTACTATGCAGTAATAAGTCTGCACAATATTATCTTTATTACTCCGTTGGGTTCCGAGTAGAACATAGGGCTTTGACAGCGCATCTCCATTTCATCCTGCTCTCTGAAGTTCTTTTCAGCTGTCTCCCTTATCACGCATAAGCTTTCACCTCCTACTAACACAATCTCCTCCATATCAACCTCGGACTGATGCCCAACTCGTTGTTTTCCGATCGGGTTTAACTCGAGTACTGGCCTGGTAAGCGACGTCTGCCAAGAATCTCCTCAGTGAGTCTCTAACCTATCTCCATTTCGTCCGGTATATTGCTGGTCAATAGGCTTTTGGCTGGTTCCCTGACAGACTTTCTTGTCAATAATCTTTACTGGCTGGTCATCTGACCTTCAGTATGAAGCGGAGGTGGCAGATGTTGATAAAAGTCTGCAACCTCTTAATACTGCTTTCGGTAATGCGTGAGCGGAGCCCCTGAACCTTATAAAAACACTGACTGACTTAACATTAGTGTTGGAAATCCGGATCTTGTTGCTTTTGTCGGGTGTAGCAAATTTCCACTTGATTTAAGACTAATGAAGGTCTATCTTCCTGTTCTGATTCTGCCTTCAACATCCTCATCAGTGCCTCCTGTATATGGCGCGACATTACCTAAATAAGTCAAAGAAGTGACTTTCTTCAGATTCCTCCCGTTGATAGTAATTGGTGCTCTTTATTATTGTTGGCTATCCGATCTCTTCATAACTTCTCACACCTGAATCGAAGTGATTGATGGTATACCACTCGGATATGAAGCTGTCGACTACGACTACAGAAAGCTGATTCAAAATCAGTAGTTACAAAAAATACTACAATTCATCAGTGTTCATATAACGGAGTGTCATTTTTCAATCTCAGTCTTATGATTCTGTAGGCATGATGCATTCATAGTAGAATGATAAACTCTAAGTCTTCTGTAATGTGAAGTCCATACCCTATTGGAGACTGAGTCTAGATTGATCAGATTAAAAGACAAAAGCATCTCTATTCTGTTGGCTGATCAGTCGACACAAAATACCAATATATCATACAGTGACTGCAGTGACCAACTGTCTTCACACCTTAATTAAGCAACCTCACTAATTCAAATTTATAAAACTTCAGGAATTATATGCATCTACGAGCTTTTCAATTATAACAGAATCTTTCTAGATATCAGTCAGTTTCATACAGAATCTCACAAGTGTATAAATGAAAAAAACTAGGTTTAGTGGTTATCTTAAAAATAAACTCTTCTAAGTTTCGGCGAGAAACTTTGATCTCATCAAGATATAAGGATAGCTATTCAACGGTAACTATCAACGCAGATCGAACGATTTAGTAAAGTGGTCGTATTTGGAAGGATTCGACTGAGGGTTCTAACTTGTTTTATTAAATAGTAGCGTACTTGCTTTCAAATCCCACTCTCTTGGACTAAGATTCTTGTTGGGCCAATGGTTTGCACTGCTGGGAGTAAATGATTACATTTACAGTGATGAAAAATGTGCTAGGTGATTTTGTACTCGATACCACTTGATAGCAAGATCCGCCTTCAATTAAATTGAACTTAATAAGCCTAGCGTCTGTAATATATCAGTTATACTTCCAGATACGTGGAGCAATAGGTTTAATGGGACACTTCTGACATCTGTAAGCACATCAATCTCTATAGTGACTTTATAATTAACAACAGCAACACTTTATATGATTTATTTTCATTGTTTAGGAATGTCCAGCTGGTACCCTCAACGAAGATTCATTTAAAGATATTTACTGCAAATTCTTCCCCCAAGGAGGTGAGTGAGGTATTTGTTCACATTTCGTTTATTATTATTATTTTACAGAAAGAATTCTTCAGCTATTTTTCAGACATTCGAGTTGTTCATTGAATTTTTATGCTTGCATGTAGTAAAGTCTATTCATAAAACAAAATCAATAATAAGGAGTTTAAAAAGAAATGCTGTTTAGGTATTTTGTGTAGGATATTAGTACAGCTAAATCAATAAAGTGGTAACATACTGTTTTTAAGTTCAAACAAATTAATAAACTCAACGAGTGTAGACTGGATGGTATCCGAAATTAAGAACATGAGGATTTAATTGCACTGTTTTTAACAGACTTACAAGCTATCAAAAACCTGTTAATGTGAAATTCGAAACAGTTCATGGCATAATTTATTTTGTGTTTTGTAAGAGTTTGGCTTAGATTTCATACAAATTATATGCAAAATATATTTTTTCTTTATTAAACATTGTTTTCTACAGGGAAAAAGGAGTCTTCAAAAGTAACTCTCTAAAGGTTAGGAAACAGACGGAATTCATGCTTTCAACTTCAGTGGAATTCCATAATTGTGTGTGTTCTAGATATCGTTTATTTCGTCAACCAACGACATATCAGGTGACATTCAGAAAGAAAATACTTCTGCCTTCAAGAAATTACAAGTAACTAGTCTGTGGTTTACGCTTAATATTAGACAGATCATGTGCAAAGTTATTCTTTTTAAATTAAAAAATACGGGACAGAAAAAGAAGGTCAAAGCCTAACATTAATTGTTAACTAAGCACACTTAATTGTATATCAGAAATCGAAAATAGTGAAATTAGGAAATTACTAAAGCAATGTTACGTAATCAACGAAAAACCGAAATAATAAACGATGAAAGAGCCCACAAATAGTTTATTGAAAGTAAGAAGAGAAGGAAAAGTCTGGTTTTTTCAAGTGAGGTAATTAAAGGGAAAATGATATTTGGGATACAAGGAAAGTTATTACATTATAGCTGGAAAAGTCATTAAACTAAAGACATGACAGTAAAAAAAACTGTAGGGATCGAAACTCTGTAAAGATGTAAGCGGAATTCGTCTAGTAAAATATACCTAGATTTACAGAAATAGGTGAACTGACACACTCACGTACATTAATGTTGTTAACAGTGGAATCTTTGCTCTAATCTTAATGAACAAGGATATATGATAAAAAAGGTGTGATAGTTGGGTTTTGTGAAATATCAGACTTCTTCCACTTATATTCCAGTTATTCAGGTTTGCTCTGCATTTTACAGAGCAGTTTTCACAGGGATTCCAGTTCTCTCTCGAATTTACCTAATGCGAACATATAATAGAATCTTGAGGCAAAGGAGATTGTAAGGTTTCTTTTGCTGTTCACGGGAGACATACGTTATAGTGAATAGCTGGAGATTTAGAAAGTAGAAATTTACTTATATACTGAACTTTATTTATCATTGCAATGTAAAAGAAAGTTAAATGAAGCTCCTATGACCGTTGCAAAATTGATGATAGTGATATCGAAATCAAGTCTGAAGTTAAATACCTTGGATTAATTCTTTCTTCTGACCTATCCTCGTCTTCCCATGTGTTAGAGATTTCTAAGAGAAAATTTCGTCTGACTTTTTACACTAAGCAGTTAAGGCACTCAGACATAACTCAACCCCTCCTCCTACAGTTTGTCAACTCGTTCATCTTAACTATTCTTCTTTATTGTTCACCCTTTTACTTTCCTGGATTGCTTAAAAAAGACTATTTCATACTTCACAGAAGTATGAGGACTGTCAGTAGGGCGAGTGGTATCACATTGAACCATATCGTTGACATCGTCATTGACAGGCAATTGATTTCATGCAGAAAATTTGCTGAAGGAATTTTGTCAGACTGTGAGCATCCACTTCACCCGCAGCTCGAACATTGTGTCTCTTCAGTTAAAACAAGAAGTCTTTTCAAAAGACTTAATGCATGTACGTATAAGTATAAAAATTCAACTATACCATATTTGGCAAGTATTTTATGTGATGAAAATAGTTTCAGGTATGAACTAACTAACCTTCTTTGCACTAGTAAATAAACCATTTTCTCCACCCTTACAACATCAAGCTTTATTGTTATTTTTCCGTTTTTATTTGTTTATTTTCTCAAAAGTGTAAACACCATTTAAGCTGTGTTATAACTGTTAATTTTGTATTTCCCCTCACTATACTATATCAAGAGAACATTAGATTCAATACTCTATAACATGCTAAAATTTTCAAACTGAATTGACAATACTGTTTGAAACAAACTCACTGTTATTATTATCATTATATTTATTATTCTCATTTTGTACTTCGAATATCTTTGATTTTATCCCATAAATCTGGACAAATTCCTCTGGTTATTTTAACTTTAATTTTATTGATATTTTGAGTATATCAAATGCAATATTGTGACAACTGTTGAGAATTCCATTCTTTATTATAAGTACAGTTTTTGGAATAAAGTAGATTACTAATTATTATTATCATTATTGAATTTCAGCCTAAGTGGCTACAAGTTCAATGAATTTGAACCTTAAGGTTCTTAGTCAGATTCCTGGTGAGGGCGTGGGCACGCACTGGTGAAGACTCTTAAATTTGGAAGAAGTAGCTGTCCAGCACTCACTGGTTTTCAATAATCACTAAATGATGTTGTTTCTTAATGAAATCAACATTGAAAGCAATCCTAAATGTCAAATTAATTTATCAATGTTAATCGTTGAAATAAAGTATAATTATCCATAGTTTTGGTTTGTAAGGGTTAGTTATGTTTTTACGAGTTGGTCACGGATTGATATCAGTACTCCCTGGTTTTCAATGGTTCTCTAACTGATATCAATCCGTGACCAACTCGTAAAAGTGTAATTATATTTCAATAGTTTACACACAATGATAAGTTTTGTTATTGGTAATATTTCGGGCAAAATTACTGCCCGTGTTCACACCACTGTTGGAATTGTTTTAATCGTTGAAGACTATCAGAAAACTTTTCAAGTCAACCTCTTCACCGATACAAATAAAAACGTTATCTATATGTGATTTATTATTTTTAAACTATTCGATGGTCTACTGCTTTTTATTTGAATCTAGATGGGCCTTGAAGTCGTTAGCAAGTAATGAACTAGGTTAAAGAGTTTGTGCTGAATAAACCTTCCTCAGCTCGTTTTCTGTTTGCTTTGTTTGTTTGACTACGGTTCTGTTTGCTAGAAACTGTAGCAGTGCATCGATGTTTAGATCGTTTGAATTGATAAAATATCCCGTCTCGTTTAACTAGGATAATTGGCATCAGATGAAACACAGAACTTCACTAGATATGGCCAATTTATAGTTTCAGATTTTGTTGTTTTTATCACTTGAGTTTCAGCATCATCTTCTTGTAAGGTTTTAGCATTTCTGTCAGCCATCACTTCACAGAGTAGCAAAGTTGTCAAGTTATATCCAGAATTAGACAATTGAGTAACTTATTCTTATGAATCTGTACTAAAGTATAAAGACATGTCAGTACTTATTGATAAATGAGTCCTGTTTCATTTAGGATAATTCTGTCTTGATTCCATTTATTTTTTTGGAGTTTGTTTTCTTTCGATGTGCCTTATGATTCACTGTCAATACATGACAATACTTTTTAATGACTACATGGTCAAGTTTTTCTACACTTTTCATTGTTCAGCATTCTCTATGCTAGGAGTAAAAGTCAGGTAGCCCTGAGTCAATTTCTCATCCCTATTTATCGCGATCAACAGTGATTTATTGATAAACTCTACTCTTATTGAAAGATCTAAAAATGAATGACTGGTAAGCAGTTTAAATCTGTCCCATTACATATCAGTTTACTTGTTAAACATTCGAAATTTTTTAATCTGTCTGTTGATGAATTATGGATTATCAGTTAATAAAAGAATATTCATATTCATAGACTTATTATGTCACAGGATGGACTGTGCTGGTGCAGAAATGCAACAGTCCATGAGAATTAAACTAAAGCCCCAAGTTTTAGAACATAAAATATTACACTTATTTAAAAAGACCTTTATTTAGGAACAATAAGAAAACAAGAGATACGAATATATGTAGACATCGCATACTACTGATTGACAGATGAAATTTCACTCCTACTTTTTTGGAAATTCATGATATGTGGTCTGCTTGACATTATGAAATGAAACCTTTTAAAACAAATATATCAGCTTATTCAAATTCTTCTATTCCGGCTTTATCATTCCTCTTAATAAAGCCGTTATAAGAACAGACGTTGGATGAATGGGCTTCTGAAATGTCTTATTATCGTTTTTAGTTCAAAGTAGCTCTCGTATAAACAGTTTAAGTGGTGAAGTATTTCAAAGAAGTAACGAATAATTCACGAGCTGAGCTTGTCGACTGGATGGTAAATACCCCAAGTCTTTTACAACAACAACCTCATAAAAAGAGTATTTATTGGAAACATAATGGAGAAAACATCGTGAATGAAGACATGAATTAAATTACTGGCCTCTAGGATATTTCTTCGGGGACCCAATGGCTTACGTTCACTTTGAGCCACAATAGTCTTTCATATAAAGGTTATTGAATCTGACAATTTTTACTGAGGGAATTACAGATCAAATTTTCGCAGAGAAATACTTGCTATGTTGAAAAAACTGTTAGTTAGCCTCATTTCATCTGACTTAGTTGTTACACTGTATTTCATAGTTGATAAATTTCTATTAGAACACTTCGGAATAAACGTCCACATTAATGGTCTCATTTGGCGTCCAGCGTGTTCTGAATTTCATGTTAAATTCGATTACAATTTTCAGAAGAACAATAAAATTTTCCAAGGTTTTAGATAAGTTGTGTCAGATAAGATGCGTCAAATAGAAATAAAATAGCACTTTCTGCCCATTCCTCTCTGGGGTGATAGTCATGATCTTAGTCAGTTGCTACAGATATTCAACAGCTGTCATCCAGTGACAAAGCTTTCTCTTGAAACAGAAAATGAATATAAAATTCCCCTTC